GCCTAACTGCATTAAAGTATGGAATGTCTATGCACAAAAACTGACTACAGTAATTTGGACAGTTTTGAGCATTTCTGTAAGATAAACTGAATTTCCACAGTTATGGATTTACATACAAAATATTCAGTGGTGTTGCCCTAGACAGTGCCAATAATCCCTAATTTAATTGTAAGCATCTCAGCACAGCTGAGTGACAGCTATAATGGAATCAAATTGAAAGCTTACAGTGGCCCAAACTGTTGGTTTTCTTGGCTGAATGAATTAACCAAAACTAATGCTTAAAGTCTTTCTATGAAAAGACTTTAAAGACTTCCTAGTCTACAGGTAATTATTTTTCTTTTCTTCATCTCATTCTTGCAATGTTACATTAACATTCTGAGCTGTGGTTTTACACTGCATTTTGTAACAAGCTCAAACATAAAAAAGCAAATGTTTGCCTTTAAACACAAACAGAAGAAAAATAGATGTTATTATGTCAATAAAGGTTTCCTGTCTCCCAAGTCTCGCTCAATCAGTTAAGAAACTAATATACTTGTACAAAAAAAGGAATACTGATTCATGCACTGTATTCCCTAAATCCTGTCAAACATATTATAATAGTTTGTTCTTCACTTTTACAGAAGATCCACCTGACTAACACCCCATATTAACTGCAGAAATCAAATACTTGAGAAAAAGAAACACTATACACTATATTACAGGAGTTAAATTCTCAAAGGATAGGTGTAGAAGGGAAGTCTCCACAATATGAAACACAGAATGTTAACACAATGTGATTTCTTTATGACTCCGCTGGCTTTACTGGTAACCTAGCTGAAGTTCATGCACATCCCTGTATCCCCATATAAAATTTCTAGGCTTCTCTCCATTACAGAAATGTAAGGTCTAAAACATGTTATACTGATTTTACCAAACTGGCAAACATTTCAATAAGACATCAAATAAAGCTTCAGAATAAAAAAGAAATAATAAAATAAAGCCTTACAATATTTGTATTGGCTGACAGCAATGTTCACAAAAATATGGCTGAAGAAATTCTCCTGCATTTTATTTGAATGGCCTGTACATCTGCTAGAGCCAACCTGAGCATTAGATTGTCTGCTAGATAAGGAGAGATGTGAATCAATGGGCAAATTACTTGAGCCACTGCACTGTCAAACTGGAACCAAGAGTGACCAAGTGGGAAAGTACATTATAGTTACAAATATCTTCTGCATCTATTTTTAACAGAAAAAATCTGCAACCAAAAATGGTTAGTTTAGAACTTTGTTCTGAGAGTTGGGAAAAGGGAAAAAAAATAATTAAGATCCTACTTTTCCAAAGATCTACAAACACAATTCATTTGAAATACAATAAATGCCACCACTTCACGCTAATGGAAATACAGAGAGGCAACATTCCTATTAACTTCACTGGCTGATATTCCTACAACCTTTATCCAAGTTTATAACTAGGCATATTAATCTCTCCAGGATCAGGAACTTAAGCTGCTTCAGAAAGTGCTTAAATTGCAATGAATAATTTTTTCATTAAATCAGTGACCAAAAATAGCATGTTCTTTTATTGCCAATTATCTGTAACTGGATAAAAATATCTACTCGTTGGGAAATTTTCATGCAGTTTTCTGAACAAATTTTAGAAAATTTCTTGTACACAGTATTTGGTATTACCCAGTAATATGCACTCATAACTTAATAGTAGTCTGTGTGATTGATTTTTTTTTAGGTCATATGACAATGATCCTTTTTTGTTAGATGAATCTAATGTTTCATTGACCTTTTTAAATAAATGTAAGACAGTAAGATACCAATTTATCTTCATATCTACACAATACCATCAACAGGCCTTAAAATTCAGTTCCTACAAACTCACAAAAACAGAGGAAATGCTGCTTGAACAGTTAAAAACGAATATTTCCAATATTCATCAATAATCAAAAATCTATACCATTTTTCACCATAAGAGTTCACTTTTAAGAGTCCTGGACAAAATTCAGCACAGCTGAAAAATTCAGATAGCAATCTAGATTTTTGTATTCCGTACCCCTTTCTTCATGTTTCTGCAAGTCTGATAAGAACATTACAATGAAAAACACCACCCTTGCAATATTCTGTGTAAATTGAAAAAAACATGGTTTTTTTCTACCTGACATGGCAATTGTATGCCTTCATTGCTCATATTCAGGAGTTTGATAATATGTCATCTACACCACATTTGATCTGCTATTATAAACAAAAGTGGCCACATTCAAATGACATCTGTATTGCTATTGAATAATCACACGCAAACATTTGCTTGGTCATGTCCTTTTTCCTTTTTTTTTTACTTTCTGCATAACCTTTTATGGCCTAATCCCAGGCCCTGATCCTGGTACCACTCAGATATGCATGTGTGGAAATGTTAAATTGGTATTTTAATGTTTTAAACACTGGGGTCCTGAATTGTACTCTACTGGTTTTATATGCTTTCCTTCTTTGAACACAGTTGTATTCTAGGGAGAAAATTATATAATTCCACAATTAATTCCTACCTGCTGTGACAGTGTGCCCTCAGGGTAAATATGATTTTTCATAATAACACACTGAAAGCTTCCACTGTGATTGACCTTAAAGACACTGACAAATTAATTACTCTGCTCGTCAATATGGTATGGCAGCTAAAAGATTTGAGCAGATACCCAGCCAGTCAACATGCATGCTGCCATCTGCTGAGTATGACAGCAAGGGATTTGTACCACTCTCTCTGAAAGAAAAGCTGTGCTGCCTTCCAAAAAATATGTTACCAAACCCCTCATTCACAAGTCAAATAAAGACTGTTCACATTCTGTAAGAGAATGGGTAGTATCCCATGGGTTTTTTCATCCTCAGGTTTAAAACTAAAAAGGAGACTATCGCAGAGAATTCATTAAAGCTTTGGTTTTGAGTCCACTGCCTAATAGCTGAAGCTAGGTTCTATCCAAAAAGATCATTAGATTTACATGAACACTCATGCAGTTCAAATGTGAGCAAGGAAGTTCACAGTTTATTTATCTCACTGTCAAACCTCAGTATTACTCTGATTTAAAGAGGTCTCCTCTGGCTCAAGACAAAAAAAAGTGGTAATAATGTATAAGCTGAAGTTCCTGCAAAACAATGGTCAGGACGCAGCACAGAGAAGTGACTTTTTAAAAAAATTAATTATGAAAAAGTTTGATACCATTCACACAAAGACTACAGCTAGCTTCTGGAAAAAAGGAGAGGTCTACCAAAACCACATAGTTTTTTTTCTTTCTGATTTTCAATAAAACTCCATCAGATTGGAAAATTGAGTAATTTCTACACTACTGTTCCTGTAATTAAAATTCATATCAAGCTGGTCTACATAGCAATATATACATATATACACATATAACCATATACCAATATACATCATATTGGTCAAAAAATATACACTGATGGGAAATACAGAACCTACATTTTCTCAGATATGTCGAGGGATAAGGTGGGTTGCTCCAAGTCCTGCCCACAGCTAAAGAGACAAGCCAGTTGTGCAGATCACCACCATTCATACTGTTACAGGATAATAGGACAATTCAGGCTGGAAGAGACCTCAGGAGGTCTCCAGTCCAAACTGCTGCTCAAAGCTTGGTCAGCTGTGAAGTCAGACTTGGTTACTCAGAGTTTTATTCAATCTGGTCCAGAAAACCTCCAAGGATGCAGATGGTGCTGCCTTGGCTGGGCAACCTGTTACACTATTTGACTGTCCTAATAGCGAAAAAGGGTTTCCTTAGGTCTTAAAATGTGTGGTATTTACAGTTTTCATGCTTCCTGAATGTCAGATATTGTAGGTATGATTCACTTTTTAGACACTCTAGTTATAAATGAGGGATAGCCTTCCAAAAGATCAACAAAATTACTGGAATGTAAACCAAAGTATGAGGGAAAACAAGACATTTTGCTCCAGAGCACAGCTTTATTACAATTATGGATGATTTAATCCAGTTATTCCCTCTACAATTTACAAAGGGGCTGATATTCTACGGAAAATTGAAGAAAACCTTTATAAACGCTCTTCTCTAAAGAAGAGACCCTGTATTTATTTTGACCAAGTATCACAGCCAGAGCTATGAATGAGTGGAATAATTTCATCTGTCCCTCTGTTGCTGCTGTGCAACAGGATAGGAGTAAAATGAAAACAATACTAGAGCCCACTCTCAAGCATTTGGGGTAACACTGGGCAAATGGAATAGGATAAAAAATGGATAATATGTCGGACACGCAAGTTAGAGACTCCTAAATTTGATATTGTAATGAGAAAACAGAAAACAAATGACACTGTACAAGGTGGAATGCAGAAAGAGCTGAGCTGTTAAGTGCAGCCAGTGTAACTCTTAGCCAGCACACTTGTACTGCTTTGAGACCTGGGTGGAGCTATTTTGGAGGTCTTATCACTCATGATAATCATTGTATAACCTGAATAATCTTCTCAGAGATTAAGAAGAGCAGATACCACCTGATAACTGCCAAGAGACCTATCAATTTACTTTTTAGAAACACTTTAGAACATAATACTGTATGCAGTAAAACAAAACACCTTCTTAAAACATTTCTCTTCCTAACACTTACCTTTTAAAAAGCTTCCTCCCTGCTTGACCTGATCTCAGAGAGCATTCTGACAAACTCCTTTCACAGCTATGAACCTACGACAGTGTTTAAAACGTAATCCTACAGAAGCACCTGAAGGATTCCAGTAAGCATCATCCTAAACAATTACTTTTTCAGATAAGTTATATTCTAACATCCAGCTGGAATTAAAATATCAAATATGTGTCAACTTATAAAAAAATATCCTAACAGTGCCTGCATTTATGTCATGAGCTGTAACAAGCCCTTGGCTATAAAAGAGAGAACCATGAATATTGTAATAGTACCACAAATAGCACCATACTGCCAGGTTCTTTTAAAAACTGAAACTTATTAAAAATCAAAGCAATTAACTACTGTATTACAGAAAACACCCACCTCTTAAACTCATTTGTCTTTGTGACAAGTTCTTATGCAAACTTTTCTTTCTCCATTCCAGCAGAAATTTCTGCAGAGAAGACAGAGATACACTGCTTCTTCATTTGGGGAAATATATCAGGTGTGATGGTAACATCCAAACCCTAAAATGGAACAGAACATAAAATCCATCAGAATGTTAGCACCATCACTTACAATCATGACCTAATCTTTCTTCTAATACTTGTGACCTTAAGTGATTATGACAAAGACTGGTATTGCAATTGAGCTTTTAGTAATGATGCCTTATTATTTTATTATTTTGAGACTCAGTCCTGCAAAATGCTGAGCCCTGAGAACTCACCAATGATCAGTAGTTGGGATACTCTGGTCCTTTCAATTCCCATAAGCATCATATTGTTACGCTGGAATATTTCAAGCAGCCTCCTTTTTACGACATTTTAGTCAATAAATATTCATATATATGCTATAAGACACAAACTAGTTTTGCCTGCATATAAATGTTTAGAAAATTACTATCAAAGTAAATTCATACATTTGTCATCATACAGCATACTGCTCTTTGTTGCTTCTGCAGTATGTATTTGCAAAGTACATTAAAAATACATAAATAAGAAGAAATATTTAATATTAAACATTCTACGGATTCCTAAGATTTACCTGAGGACTTAATCAGCTACTGAGCCCAACTTCAATTGTGACTTGACAGGCTGCAAATTATGTATTTTAAGAGGTAATAGTCTATTTTAAATATTGCCAACCGAGTATTTTACTATTTAAAAATCATGTTATTCATATTGAGAAATCATACCTTCTTGATTTTAAAAATCTGTCAGACAACCCCAAATTCTATCAAACAATTGACTAGATTTTATTATCTGCACTAGAATTCTGAAATAAAGCATATTTCAACGTTAATTCTCCAAGTTTCACTTATTCTATGTGATCATGCAATTTTAAGAACACCAGAAAGTTCATCAAGAATAAACTTACTTTCTTTTCAATCTTGCAGAAGAGAATCTTAATCCTTAAGTTTTATGATATTTAAAATTATAAAAGTCTCACATAACCAAAAATACACTTAAAGGCTACTCTGCTGGGTTTGTGTTGTAATGTACTGTCCATATTGGCAGGGGAAAATACAGAAAGCTTGTGAGCAGAGTTCCATAATCTTCTATGGAAAGCATCCTTGGTAGATAAGCATTATTTATAGGTGCCGCCACTTTCACAAAGTGACATTCCTACATTTCACACTGATGTAATCTTTAATTACATTTTCCCATTTCTATTTAGACTGTGATTTAAATATAAATATAACTGAACTGTAAATCTGAAAATACTATAGCTATATTATGCACTAAAAATTACATTAGCTCCTAAAAGGCCAAAAGTAGTCCTGAACTTTCTCCCACATGAGCAATATTCCTGTATTTCATTAAACATCTACACACCCTTAAAATGGCTAAATTAAATTAATTAGTATTTTACTGATTTTTCTATTCATCTGGTTTAACACTAGAAGTGTTTTGTTTCTCTCATGTTCTTTACAAATGTAATCAAATACAACACATATAAGAAACGTTAGCTTCTGTATCATTGACAGCTTAATTTTGGTTGTATCTTTTCCTCTCTTTAGTCTTATCGAGACATCAAAATCTTTTCTGTAATGAAAGACACATTTATCTCCTTCAAGGACATTTCAGCTCTGTAAATGTCAGCAAGGGTCTTTCTCTCTTTCCAATTCCCTAAACTTTTCATTCTGATAATCAGGAGAATGCCTAGAATTCCAAATCTGGACCACTCTCCTAACTTAGTAGAAAATTCAGCACCCATGAAATATTAAGTGTAAGTATAAGACTAATTTTATGAAAAGTTTTCTTGTCTAGAAAAAATACTTGATACCACCGCAATTAAAAAGTTTTCAGATGTCACCTGCTATAAATAAAGATTATCTTTCTACAGCTACATATGTATGTTGTCCTTTTTCATAACTCCCATCAGTATTTTCGAGCTGTCAAACTCAGATTGCAAAACTTTGAACTTATTTATATATAATTTGGTACCTACATCCAATTTATCAACTTCTGTGTACCCAAGTGAACAAGTATCTGTCTTATTCCAAGTGCCAGCAATACATCTTGCAATATTGTGTGAAAAAATATAGTTGTAACTTCAGCCACACACTGAGAATATCCTTCACTCTCTAGACAAGCTGTATTCGTGTGGGCCACCATTTTGCTAAGACTGTCACTGATGCCTGCAGGAAAGATTTTGATACCCCTTCTCTTTTCTATCACAACCAAGTATTTACCCTGACTGCAGCCATCTCCATACAAAGAATTCAACAAGAAATGCTACTCACATAGAATTTCATAGGTTTTAAGGATGATTAAAAGCTTTGTTAGAGAGATCTTCACAATCGGGTATTTCCTTGCAACTTCAGGGCATACAGCAGAAATAAAAACTTCTCATGAGGACCTGAATTTTTTTTTTATTTTTTCAGATACACTTTAACAAACACAATTATTTCAGATACTAATTGCTACTGATTCTCAGCATTCTTCAGACTGTCTTTTCTGGCAAAGAAAATATTACTTGTCAGGTTGCTAGAGGGGGAAGGAATAAATCTACAACATATTTTTGTTTTCTTCTTGATAGATTGTTAAAATAAAGTAGAAAATAATTAGGTCATCTTATGCTATCCTTTTGAAATATGTTTTGGTACCTTTTCATATATCAAACAAATTATTAACTTGTAACACATAAAAGTATCTGATGAGTTCAGGAGATCTGAAGGCTCATGTTTTTTGGGGCCTGGGGAATCACTGGTTTTATTTTTAACTGTACTCTTCGTATTTTACTGATTTCAAAGCAGCATCAGGAAGTGGAAAAACATACTGCATCACTGAAGCTCCTCAAAAAGTTTGCATTCTATGGCTAATTTAATGGTTCATACGCATGTATCTATGATAGACAGGAAAAAAGGCAGCAAAAAAGTATGGAGAAAATAAAGGCAGGGAAAGTTAGAGAACTAGTCACTGAGGGGCTCTAGAAAAGATCTAAATACCATCAATCCTGCCTTTGTGGCGTTAGAATCTATGTTCTTTTTTCACAGGAAATTGTTTCTTGTGAAAACACCACTCATTTTGGGGAACTTGAAGCTTTCAGTGATTTGGTATCCTTACTTTACTTAATACTGAATCCACATGAATATATGCAGCTTTTTTTTTTAGTGTTATTTCATAGAAAATTGAACTTTTACATGTTTTCTACAGAAAAAAAATATTAACTAATCTCCTTTCTGTATCTTTTATATTTTCTTCATAGAAGCCAATTCAATAGAGTCTGTATCAGAGGGGATTCTCTTTCAATTGTTGATCCTGAAATGTCAATGGAAGCTTATTGATAAATTCTGTAATTTCCTTTCCATGTCATAAGGAAACATAGTTTGGAGATCTACCTTCCACGGAAATGAAAGACTGTATCTTTGTAAAAGATACTGATGACCAAAAGGGGATGTCTAAGGTACCTTAGCATAAAATATAAATTTTAATCCACTCACAAAAGCAAATCTAGTTATTTTAATCCAAGAAGAAATTCAAATATATAATAAAACATTGTAAGAAAAATCAGCAATTTTGATCTGGGAACACTATGCCAAGGACATGCAGTGTTTTCAGATAGCCTGAAAGCAGAACAGTTTCTGCTCCACTTGTCTTTCAGCAGTGGTCTTAGCTCTGGAAGTCAAAAGAAACCAATCTTGTAGACCCAGAGACAATGAGAAAATCATGCCCTGTCCACACTTATCCTAATAAGACTCTCAACCAAAACACCCTCTCAAGATTGAGGTTTTGTTTTGTTCTGTTTGAGGGTTGTTTCCTTACACTTATGTTTTGCTTTTTAAGGATATTTGTAGCTCATTTTTCTCTTTGTTAACATTATATAGCACCTAAAAAAAAAGCACAAGTGTGTTGGCCTTTCTGTGCTAGCTGCTGAAAAAGCATATAACCTAGACCCCAGAGAATCTAGTTAAGACCAAAAAATCGCTAACTGTAAAGCTAAAGCATTTTTCCCTGCAAAGCTGAAAATCACTTTTACATTAATCTTGGCTATGCCATAAGTAAGATTACCCTGCCCATAGATCTTGAGCTTGAGTCTTCTAAGGGAAAATAACTGAAACATTAACATAGTTTGCCCGTGTTAACACAATAGCTCTGTTATTTTCACTTGGGCCATTCTCAGCTGTGCTGAGTGTGCGTCCCTGAGGCAGCCAAGTCACACTCCTGCCTGTACTGGGGAACCGACCTGCACAGGCAGAGAGGAGCTCACCCCGAGCCTCGGCTGGCAAAGCAGCGTTGTCTGACTGCAAAGGTGCTGGTTATGTAGAGAAAAGGAAACTTGATTGCATGTTACATGTCCTAGGGAAGGCTTTCAAGGGACTCCTCAACCAATGACCTCCACCAGCCTGCATCTACACAGGCTTTCCCACCTCAGCCAAACCAAGGAGACATGCTGGTCCCTTGCTGGCCCAGGGTCCAGCTAGGGAGCAGAGAGCTGGCTCTCCCCTCGCCAGGGCTCAGTCAAGCCCTGACTTAACTTTCTAGGTGGGGGAGCGAGCCGGTGGGATCCCCCTGAGGAAACCCCTCTCCCCGTAGCTCCCCCCCCCTCAGCCCACCCTCGCCCCTTCCCGCTGCCACGGTGCCAGGTGCTCCTTTCCCGAGAGCCGCCCCTGCCCGCCCGCAACCAGCGCACAGCGGTGTGGGCCGCACGCTGTGCACTCCACAGAGGGACGGGCCCCGCCGGCCACTGCAGGGGGGACAACCCCGGAGTTCGGGTGAGGGGGTCCGGCGAGCCGCCCCTTCGCACGGGGCACCCCGCGCTCCTGCAGCCCGACCGCGCTTCTGCCCAGCCCGCGGCTGCCGCTGCCCTGAGCCCCCAGCCCGGCCCCGGCCCGGCCCCAGCCCAGCCACCGCCGCATCCCCGGCGCCCCCCGCCCGGTCCCTCCCGGCGGCGCTGATGTCACATCCGCCGCCCGTGCCCGTCCAGCCGCGCTGGCTCCGCCGTCTCCCGGGCTCAAAGTTTGGCGGTGGGCTGGCCGGGGGCGGAGGGGAGGGGCGGGGGTGGGACGGGGCCGCGGAGCCGCTCTGGCAGCTCGGGCAGCGCCGGCCTCGCCCGCCCTCCCCGCGCCGAGGCAGCCCGCGGAATGAGCGTTCCCCGGGCGGCTGCTGCTGCCGCTGCCGCCTCCAGTCGGGCTCGGGCGGGCGGGCAGGGAGCGCGGCTGCCGGCGCGGTCGCTGCAGCGGGAGCGGAGTGAATGACCGAGAGGAGCGGCGCGGAGAGGCAGCCCCGGGATCAGGATGCGGGCGGCCGCCAGCATCCTCAACCTCCTGCTACTGTCCTTGCTGGCCGGCCTCAATCCCTCCAAGGTAGGAGCCGGCCGGGCGGCAAGTTCTCCCGCAGCGGCGGAGCCGGCCCGCACACGGCGTATGCGGTAGCGGGCGATGCGCTGGGCGGCCCCGGGGAGAGGCGGGTGCGTGTCCTTGGCCGTCCGAGGGGCCAGGCGGGAGAGCTCGTGGCGGGAATGGCTGTCCCCGGCCCCGGGATTCCCGGCCCGAGGCGGGGCGGCCGCCCGCGGTCAGGGGGCTGCGGGGATGCGGCGGCACCCACGGCCCCGGTCCCGGAGCGCAGAGCGGGCACCCCCCGCACCTGCCCGCGACCCCCGCACCGCCACACGCGGGAGCTGCACCCGCCGCAGAGCGGCGGCGGGGCGGGCTCCGCGCTGCCCGGGGCCGGCAGCTGTCCAAGGCCGGCAGCTGCACAGCCGGAGCGAGCGGCGATCCGTCCCACCCAAGGCACAGAAGCGTTCATAGCGCTGGGTGACTGCACCAGTGCCGGGGAGGCAGCGAGGCGCTGGAAGCAGAGATCGACAGCCTCCGAAAATAAATAAATTTGTTTAGAGTGGAACCGGAGGCATCACGTGAAGAGACTGAATTTAGTACTATAGCCACGCTCGGGGCTGCTGCAGAGTTTCGTTATTTTCAGCTGTGTTCAGGTCACCAAAAGATCACATCTGATACTGAAGTAGTGATAAAAGCAAACAATATGTTTTAGCCATGCAGCCTGGTTTGTGACGGAGATTTTAGACTAAGTCATTTAAAAAATCGGAATTGCACTATACCACTTAAGAGGAATAATAACTGCAGCTGTCTGTAGTGCTGTATTTTATAGATGTAGAACTTGTCTCATTTGCCTTTTTGTGGCGTGCAGTCTTTTAACTGTGAACATTGAGAACACATTCTCATAGTATTGCAGTCTATTACCAGCAGCAGTCCATACCGTGTTGACACAATTTATATTGTATGTTGGTGAATGTCAATTTAACAATACCATTTAGGTACCAGACAACCACGTGAGGCAATGTTCAGCTCTTCTGGCAGGTTTTTCCTTTAAAATAAAGGTATTAATCATATACAAGTATGCACTGAATTTCTAACAATATGGAAAAGATGCTCCTCTTTAAAAACAAAAACAGAACCTAAAAAGGAAGCCAGTGAAAACCTGATTTACGCATGCAGTATTCTGACTGCCTTTCAATCAGTAAGATACAGTGACAACTTAAAAAAGCAGGAGGTGGTAGAGAATTCATAACATTACCTAAGAAATCAGTTATATCAGTTCTGTTTAATAGGAGCTATTTGAAAGCATCAGCTATTGCTGTGTCTGTAGAGAGTCATCAGGCAATGCACACACAGGAGTTTTACATCTGTGCAAATAGCAGCACATGGTCACGTTATAATTACAGGTTTCCACACACTCATTTTCTTTATTTTTCTGTCTTCTCTTACCCTTAGTGAGACCTATAGAGTTAAATACTTAGAGACACTCCATGAAAGCAGGAAAATCAAAATTTGTGTCACTCTGTCCCCAGAAGAGTAGAATCACTAGTGAAACAAACAGCTGATAGAATTATTCTTTTAGTTCAGGCTCTGAAATAACAGTGGGAAGAAATGTTCCATCTTATGTGTCTGTCACCATCCAGCACTGAAAACGAGGATGAGGCATTGGAATGAAGTGGCATAAATTAACTTTTGAAACTTTGCTTCCAGCCCTTTTTGCTCTGGCATACTGTGCAGAAGGCATGAAAATGGCCTTTTATTCATCACTCTGTGTGACATTTTCAGGGATATTAAAATGTTCTTTACTGGCTATTTTGACTTTGTCAAGGGTCAGGAATAAAAAAAGCTCAAAAGTCCTTAAGATTAGATTAAAATTAGAGTTCTTAGTCAAAATCTGGTGTCTATCAGAGCTAAATTGGGTTTTCATAAGTAAAAAAAAGTGAAGTCGAATTGATTCTACACCACATTAAGCATAAAAAAGATGCCACATGGCACATAATTAATTTTGTTGACTATGAACAATATATTTCATATTTCTATGAAAAATTATATCTGTAAAAATGTTTACAGGCTATTTTTAGCAAAAAAGTACAAGTTTTGACTAAACTCTCACTTTAGAAATGGAATTAGTACTCAATTATTTATCTTGCTTTATGCTAAATTGAAATAGAATAATTTTCTGCTCTGCAGGTTAGGAAGCAAATATATGATATGAAGCTAATTGTAGAAAACAAGGGAATGTTAAATTCTTTCTTTGTGCAGTATGCTCATGATTAGACAGACAACTTTTTAAATGCCCTTGACACTCACAAACTATTCAGCTTATGAAGATAAATCTCATCAGACATTTCAAGTATACACAATACATTCCTATTCGTGTCCCACATCATTTTGAGGTAATAATTTATATTACTGGTCAATTATTTTAAAATAATGCCTGGGGGAATAAAAAAAGCTCTAATTTAATACCAGGCCATCACTGACTCAAGACTGCTGTCCACAGGCACTCCTGTTACAACAGAGATGTTATGCTAAACTTACTCAGTTATTTACTAATAGTGAAGTGTTTAAGTATCGCCATCTTATGGTAAAATATGTAACAAAAATTTATATATAATTCTTCAGTCTCTGGAACATGAACATTTTATTTCAACCACAGTAATTGATTGCCCATGCTTTTGAATTCTTTTTTTTTTTGCTAATAACCTTGATATAGAATATTGACCAGGTGAGGAAATGTTTCTTTAACAAATTGAAGACAGCTCACTAACAATAAATTTTAACACACTTAGTGCTAATTACTGAGTATCAATTTAAGATACTTATTAAATGTTGTATTTGTTAACTTTATTCTATTTTTTCTCTGTATTTACATAGAAAAATAAAAAAAAATATTGATGATATTTCATTAAAGGTCTGTTTCCAGCAGAGTGGCTAGACATTCAGCAGGAAGCCAGCTAAGGGGAAAGAACTTCAATATAAAGCCTTTCCTTTGTCTTACTCTTGAAAGAATTATCTTGAAAGAAGACACTGTTCAAGATTAGGACATTTCTAAGAGTTACTGCTAGATGGCATATCTGTGCTACTTTTCTATACCTGGAGTTTTCTGTAATGGCCCTCACAATATGTAATGTGGACTTCTTTTGTAAGGGTTGCTTTGCTGGCCATCATTTGATAATCACAGTAGTATAACCAAGCAAGCATTTTACAGTCAGGTAAAGCTGCTCCACATAGAAATCAAGCTCGGTATGTTTCCAAGTCTAGATGGCATTTTTTAAGTTTAATTTTGAAAATTTAAATAGATCTGAAAAATCTGTTCATGTTTCAATGCAGTTCATGAACTTCAGGCCTTTAAATTTTATAATGGCTATATATCCTACATCTGTTTCATTTCCTTTATTTGAATTTTGCAAAAAATGGTTCAGAAGACAACTGCCAAGTACAATCCCAAACAGAAGCTTAGTATCATTAGGGACAGTTACAGAAAGCAACTGTGATTTATGTTCATTACTCAGCATAACAGGATGTTTGGGGAATATTAACACTAAAAAATAAAAGCAAATTTGAAAGCAGTCATCTATTTTTGCATGCTTAATTAAACTTTGCATTTTGATCTTTGGAATGGCTGTGTTTCTAGACTTTAAAAATTATGATTTTCCCACATAGTCAGACTATACAAATAGCCACTAAAATCTTTCTTTTCCCTGAATTTCAAGAACTTTTCAGCAGGAAGAGTGCCCTGCTTTAGTGCTGCTTAGCAATGCAAATTAATTCATCCCTATTGCAAGATTTTATAAGAATACTATGTATAAAAAAGGGTTACCACAATATACTATTATTATTGGAAATATGACTCACAGGACTACAATACACTGCAAAATTTAATGGAAATCCCATTACCTACTTGGAAATTAATTGACCCTGTTTCCTACAGTATTAGTAGTTAGTCAGTATGGAAATCATACATAATTATTTAGCCTGCAAGATTTAAGAATGCTCTAAATCATTAATTGCTGAATGTGGTCAACTCTCACTTGGTGCCTGTTCTCCCATTTCTGTGCAACATGATTCAACAGCCATTGAAGAACATCCTGTTACTATGACTATATCCTGGGCTTTCTCCCAGATGTCATTCCAGTTATGTTACTCTCTCTCTAGTAACTTCAGTCAATGCGTAAAGACCAAAGACTGTTAACACTACTGGTTCTTCATATATTTTCATCTACACTCAATGTCATACATCCACCATTATGTTATATAAAATCACAGAAAGGTATTCAGTACATCATTTTAAGTAACATGTATTAAGATATTGGAAGAGAATATGCAAAAACACGCACGTTAGTGACATCTGCACACGTGCTAACTCTCCTGCTGCTATCAGACATTCCATGGTCTTTAAAGGCTTTTTAAAACTTGATGCTATGGAAAGAGATCTTTTTTTTTCTCTGTTTTAAAAGAGATTCCTCTTCTGCTTACTATTATGACTGCTACTCCTTTAAATACACTCAAAAAACAATTCTATGTGTTATACTAAATCTCAAAAAAAATTGTATATGTATGTATATATATATATATGTATATACACAGACATATTCTCACAGGAAACAATCATTTTTCCATTAGATGCATATTGCCTTCAGGTTACCAGGCTTCCAACTTTCTTCTGTATTTGGCCAAGTCATAAGCCAGTGAAGGAGAATCAATTCACAAAATATGCAGGGAAGAAAAAGAAGCCGGGAAGGGGACTGTCAGGACCAGGAAATGCAGTATTGCAGCTATTAAAACAACATTAAAATAGCAGCTCTAAAAATGGTGTTTCTGCTTGGCTAACGATTTACCACAGTTGTAAATTTCAAGTTAAAATACATGATGTTCATAAGGAACCTATTAAGAAATGAACAGGGAGTCATCAGAGTCCAGTCTATTTTGGGCACTGAAGTCCCCTTTTTCAATACTGTAGTATGACAGAAATGCTTCAGGGCATCACTTAGGCATTCTTACTGAATCTTCACAGAAAACCAGTTAAA